CTATCCCTATCCCTAACCCTATCCCCATCCCTAACCCTATCCCTATCCCTATCCCTAACCCCATCCCTAACCCTATCCCTAACCCTATCGCTAGCCCTATCCCTATCCCTAACCCTATCCCCATCCCTAACCCTATCCCTATCCCTATCCCCATCCCTAACCCTATCCCTATCCCTATCCCTATCCCTAACCCTATCCCTATCCCTAACCCTAACCCTATCCCCATCCCTAACCCTATCCCTATCCCTATCCCTATCCCTATCCCTATCCCTATCCCTATTCCTATCCCTATCCCTATCCCCATCCCTAACCCTATCCCTAACCCTATCCAGTACTGCTGCAAATTCACAATAACAGCTTTGTATTCCTGTGGTTTAGTAGCATTTTTATTTTTGGCCGGAATTTTTTTTTATTCGCCCGCGCGCACTAGTTTGGAGGTCTTCAGAGGATGTCATCCATAAAATTAAGCCAGTGTGGCCTTAGTAAATGGAATTCAACGAGCGCAAGTCCCAACCCCTATCCCTTAGAATCACTGATAGGACACGAGTAGAATAATTGAAGTCGAAAAGATTAATCCGATACAAAACGACCACTTTTAATTTGATGATGAAATTCTGAGTAAAGCTCATCGAATTTTACAAGTAGTCTCAGAACTGCATAAGGCGTTTCCAACTAGCCAGTTTTGGCGACGGTATTGTCAGGTACCAAAAATCATGATCTATAAGCTTGGTTATCATTGGTGAAATACTTAATACTAAATGAAACCCAAGCACACTGTTGAAAAACGTTGCTTTTATAATTATGTCATGTCAGAACTTCATTATTGTAGTCGTATACCACATGTTTTTTTTAAGTAAGACGCTCCTTTTAATGTACACCATTAACGATTTTATAATGTATATAAAAGTATTTTATAATGTATAATGTTTTTAATTGAATGTTACAATGTTGATTGATTGATTGATTGATTGATTGATTGATTGATTGATTGATTGATTGATTGATTGATTGATTGATTGATTGATTGATTGATTGATTGATTGATTGATTGAGAGCTGCGCGTGAAACTCAGGACACAACAGCGGCGTCGGAAGTTGGGCTGACTGACGTTATTCTACCCCAAGAGAGGCTGCTTGTCCGACTGTAAGAAAGAAGAAGAAACTTTACACCACTTTCCTCACTTAACTCAAGTGAAAATGAGTATTGTCCTGTCATGTATTTGTCCTTGGCGGCATGATCTGAAATAAGTTGATATAGCTTGATTGTGTCTAGTGTGTATCTGTGCAGGGGAAAAATGTCATTTAAGCGCCTTTGGACAGATGCGTTTTCTTTTTTTTTACTCTTTTTATCTTTTATTCACGAGCCAAACTTCTATCGGGTGGCGTATTAGATAATAATGTCCTGGCAATTAAAAAAACATGAGTTTGCCGTCACCACGTCTTGTGATTACATGTTGGAATTAAAAAAAAGAAAGAAACTAGTGTGTCTTACTTACCTGGACTTGGTACGGAGGCGGTGCAGCGGCGTTGTATTGGGGATGTGTCCCGTAGGTTGTCCCATAGACTGAATGAATGAAGAAGGAATGAATGGTTTGTTCAGGTTAAATCACTCCCAGCCATTTTGCCGCCATTGTGGATTTCATTACAATACTTGCGTTCTAAAAGACAATGGTAGCATTTACCTTCATAGTATAAAATAAGAAATTTCATAGACATTTAACAATTCCATTGCAGCTTAATATTAAAAATTTCCATTACAAATTAATAAAAATGGGTAACAAGTACTAAAAACCTTAATATCTAGATGCACATATATTATTTTTTCCAAACAGTACACGGATCTGAATAGCAAAGTTCTTTTTATCACAATGATTTATTTTTCACTAGCCGACGTTTCGATGACCGTCTGTCATCTTCATCAGGACAATTCTGACTGGTTTACTGTGCACTGACGCTAGATGTTACTTGGTGCAGAACTTTGCTATTCAGTCGTTTACCAACCTGATCAAATTATTTACGGAGTGCACAGATCTGTATGACAGGGTCTAACTTCTTTTCAACATAAGGCACAGAAGTACCTGTGGTTCGACAGGCCTCCGGCGGTGGCACTATGGTTCTCTGGATAACAACTGTAGTACCGGTTTGAGTCGCTAGGCAGCGCCTCCGTACAACATAACTGCAGGCCGCGATGAAGATGATTAAAAACACCCAAATGAACCAGAACCCTGGAATAAAATATTGCGGATTTGTTAAACTTTATATACTTATACTTAAGGGGGTCCATTATATGGCCTTATCATGGGCTCATCACCCATCACTCAACCGCGACGGGGGTCGTCATCGTTTACCAGATTCATTATATAGAGATCCTAGCTTTGACCTAATGTTGGCGTTACACTTCAGAGAAGCTACATGGCACGTCTCACTGGGTCAGCCTATTGAGAAGCTTTGAGGACGAGAGTGACTGATCAAAAGCCCTAGGTCAGAACATTTCTATATTCTTTGTATTGGAACAAAAGTTTTATTTTTAAACATGAGTAAACCCAAAACCTCACTGTACCCATACATACAAACTAGCTTGAACTTACACCAAGCGCTATACACATAGTAGCCGTCGTCGCAACAGTCAAACTCGTGCGGTCCGCAGCAATATGCAAAGTCCCCTGAAAAGAGAACAAGTACCGTTTTTGTGTATGTCTAAAACACTGACCATTGATGAATGTGCACACTGAAGTCTGATAGGGGGGGGGGGGGGCTCATACCCTTGTCCATAGAGCGTAATCGGTCGTTTTCATTCTACGTAGAGCGTAGACGAACCGCGTTTTTTGTAGAGCGTATTCGCCGTTTTAATTCTACGTAATGTGCTTTAGCCACTTGGAATTTATCGTAAAGCGTAATCGAGAGGCTTCCGTAATACGTAGCCAGCTCTCAAAATCTAGCGTAGAGCGTTCTTCATAAAGGTCCCCATAAATGTTACTAGTATTATACTGCCATGGGAAAAGGAGTTGACTACTGATGTAGCTTCATACCGTAGCAGGTCTTGTAGTTTCCATCCCAGTAACAGAGGTCATCACCCTAAAAGATATACACGAAAACAGAATCACTAACTTAACGTCCTAGCCAGTTCCTGCCGCAAACGTTTATTTGTGACGGAGACAACTAAGGACTTACAAAGATTAGACATTTACAAAAGAGTGTATTTATTTATTGCAAAGTTTCCACATACACATGTACATGAAGGCATGGTAGAACAGGTGGACCTGAGTACACCTTTTCAAGGCCACCATGCCGAAAAATAAATAGATATGGTCATACAAATACATTATTACGTACAATACAGTGTTATATACATGGCATTATAATTTGAATAATAATGAATAAACTTAACGGGGCCTAGTAGCGCGGCACCCCACGACATGTCCAAGTATTGATTAAATATATTAATGGGTTTACTCGCTCCAAATAAAAAAGACATCTTCACGTGTCAACTAAGTGCTTAGTTTCTTAAGAGCGGAGAGTTGAGAAGGAGAGTTTGAACTCGCTGGATAAACAATAAAGGGTATAAAGTCCAGTCGACTCAACATTTGAGTTCCGTTTGTCAATATTTTGTATTGCTCTCACAGCGGGTATTCAAAATATCATTTTATGTCAGTCTCTCAGTGATGTTCGTAGTAGCCTTACAGTGAAATGCTGCGTCAGTGACACCCAAAGAGACTGCTGGAGAAATGCAGGATGCAGGTTCTCGTATCTACGATCTATTCGGATTGATATGCAAATAAGTGAATGCAATTTTTGGGAACTCCAAAAGGAACCAAATCATATCCAGTTGATTTTTTGGTGCATCTTACTACCAGGATGTCTAACCTTCATCGACGTTGTCTTTATTACTTTATGAGTTTTGTTCTGTCTGCTTGAAATGCTTCAAGTTCAACATCAAACTTAAATCGTAGGACGGCCTGCGAGCTTTGCGTCCGAACGTTTTTCAGACACAGTTGGGAACCGAATCGGGCAACATTACAGAAACGCCTGGGAACACTAGACCATGCTGTTTAAAGTTCAAATTTTTGAACACAATAAAAGTTCTCTCCGTGACCTAGAGCTTTCAACCAGTCACTCTGGTCTTCCTCAGTAGATAGATATTTGACTGGTCGAAAGCTCTAGGTGAGAGAACGTTGTTGTATTGGCTTGAACTTGAAACATGTAACTACCTACACAGATGAACTTTCGTTGTAGCACTAGACCATGCTGTTCTTTGTTATACATTATTCACATGGGAGTGACTCACCATCACCATTACCAGGACACATCCCGCAAAGAATGCTGTAAAAACAAGCCCGTAGCCCGCCATGTTTCACCTGTTTAACCTGAGTGTTTACCGACCGCCGGGTGACGTCACACGGTGCGCACTAGTCCTGTGTGTTTAAAGGGCCTTAAAGTTAACAATTAACACAATACAGTATCATACAGCTATAACTAGTTATATATGCTTAAAGTTAAAGTTTTAGATCCACCATGTATTAGTTCTCTCACCTAAAGGGTAGCCTGGTTACCAAACCTATTATAGGCTATAGCTCCCGAGTCCTACATCCTCTCCGCAAATAGCTACTAAAGGGAGCTTTTGATCAGTCACTGGTCTCCTCAGTAGTTGGATCTAAAGTTTTAACTTTAGGTAAAATAATATATCGAAATTTTTGGCGTCAATGAAATGCCTGTTGAAGTCCAGTGTGACTTTTGTGTGTGTGTGAGGGTATAAGTGTGTGTGGGGGTGGGTGGGGGGGTATAGGCGCTACCAACTGATCCTTCTGACGGGTCTAGACCTTTTAGCCGAATCGTTAGAGCGTCGGGGTTGACTGAGCTGGTGCCCGGGTTTGTGTGCTCGATCCCCGACCCGGGACCTGAAGTGTCTTTCTCAGTTTCTACTCTCCTTAGTAGTTCCTACAGTGGTTCCCACACCGGGAATTAAACCACTAGACACCCCACTGTTTATAGCCTGGTATCCAGTCTGATTCGTGGTCGGGGCCGAAAGAGCTCTGTCCCGCCCGCCTCACATAGGTTTCCCGGTGTGTATTTCACGAGAGATTGATTAGCCCTCCTATCGTGTTGGGGGAAACCAAATCCCCAAGCATACGCTTATTAGCGTAAGGCCCAATTTAGACTAGAAACGGTATACCGTTTCGAAACGGTACGAAACGTTTCGCCACAGAAAACGGTTCGTCTTTAGACACAGAGGCGGAAGCGTTTCGGGCCGCCCGTGGCGCAGGATGTTTCAGACCCACAGTGACCTATGATGACCTCCCCGAGCCACTTCTACGGTTTGCCTCATTGGCCTTACGATACTTGTGTTTCAGGGCCTTGAACTTCGCCCGAACCTGCTTTGTGGTGCGTAAATACCCCTCAGCCGCCAGCCCGTCCACAAGCATCTGTATGCCCTCCCTATTACGCGAGGTCTCCAAGCGGGATTGTATAGTTTGATCGGCCTACAACCTGATCAAACAGCGGGTCTCTTATTGGGTACAGACCCTCCCCTGGCCTTCTGCCATCCCTCCAGACGTAAAGGATGACGAAAATTCGAGAAATAC